CACGTATGTGCTTTTCAATGTCAGAGAAGAATAACAATTCACAATTAGCACCACGTGAACGTGTAAGCATAAGCAGAAGGGATTGGGATTGGGGAAAGAGAGAGAGAGAGATGAAAAGAAAAGAAAAATTGCGGAATTAATTAATTAAGGTTCGCACGTAGTCAATTGGTATAAACCGAGACTAGTGAGCCCTTAAAGCAATATTAATATATACAGTAATTCACCAGGATGCGGCAGGGCCGACAGATATGATGATTTAAGAAGAAGAGAAAAAAATCTACAATAATAAATACAGTCTCCACCAAGATGTAGCTGTGCCGACAGTCTGGAGATTATTAAGAAAAAAATATAAATAAAAAGTGCACGCCACCAACAAGCGGACACGGCCGACAAGCTTGGGGATGCAAAAAAAATGCAGAAATTAAATTGCTGAAATTAAAGTGTGGTAATTAAAGTGCAAAAATTAAAGTGCAATAATTAAAGTGCAGAAATTAAAGAGTTAGTCCGACCATGTAGGCGGAGTATCCTTTAAATTATTATGTACAACTAAACGGTCCGACCATATAGGCGGATTTTCCGTTGAATTAATATGTACAAATTAGCGGTCCGACCATATAGGCGGAGTATCCTTTGAATTAAAATGTGACAATATGTCCAATGCTCCAAATGTCCAGATATATGTTCAGTCAACAAGTCCAACTCCAATGCTCAGGTAAGGTAATTAATCACAGTTCAATTTTTTTTTTTTTGAACTTTAATTAATCACTCGTATTTTTTTTTTGTATTTTTTTTTAACCGGCAAAAGTAAACAAGATAACAAGAAAATAATATACACACAATTTACAATAACTAAAACCAAAAGTTCATGCTTTTTTTTTTCAAAACCGCCTCCCCGGCAACGGCGCCAAGTTGGTGTGTAGCATATAATGGGCACACAACTATTTTTTTTACCCAAGGAAGTAGGGTGTCGAACCACAGAGAAGCGGGAAATAAAATAATTAATCACAAACTAAAGATTAAAGTTGGGAATGCGTTCTTTTGATTTTTGGTTTACTTGAAAAAGTAATAAAATAAAAGTGATTGAGATGAGAGATTTTTATCAACACAAAGTTCAACAAATAGCAAGTAGGGGTAGAAATTGGTAACTAATTGTTCAATGTTTAATTGAGAGACATAATTGCTAATTTTATTCTTAAATAGATTGTGAGAAGTTGTAGATAAATATTTTAGGACCCAACACAAGTCATCTAAAATAAGTAACTAGTCAACATTTCCCAGTGATGACCAAAATGAGACTAGTTGTTTAAGTGCAACGACAACCTTAATTATTAACTATATTATTTACCCAACCCCGTGGTGTAAATAATATAATTAAATAATTAAATTCCCCCGTAAAACTTCAATCCGGGACAAGGTAAAAGAAGTTTAGCGGTGTGTTCAGAAAGTGTTCATTTGTGTATTTAACAAACAATATGTTTATGATTGAGTACTCATAATATATATCACAAACATAACTTAATTAATTTTCTGGACACAACAATCTAAATAGAACAAACTTAACAATTAAAATCAATACAAATTAAAACATGATAAGAACAATTAATTAACCAATTTCTAGCCCCAAATTTATTTAGCTATACATGTTTGGAAGCTTAGAAATAGATGAATTCATGATTAAAGTACAAGATTTAAAGAGATAAGGAAAATCAAACTTGTGATAGATGATAATCCTTGGAGCTTGCTGCTAATCTTGACTTAATCTTGAATGAGAAAGTGATTAGTTGTGGTTGAAGATGGGTTGATGATTTGGAAGTGAAGAATGAAGAGAGAAGGAGGAGGAAATGATTCTGGGAGGTGTAGAGAGAAGTTGGCTCGAGATTATGTGTGGAAGGAGATGGATTAAGGCAATATAATGATAAGGTAATTAATCATTAATTGCTGGAATTTACGGAACCGAAGAGTAAATGTACAAGAAAACGCGTCCATGTATCAATAACGCGTAGCAGTGCAGTGGAAACGGAATGCTCCTGAGACTCTGATGTCCCGTGTTCGAACCCTTCTGTTGACGTTTTTTTTCCGTCTTTTCTTGCTGCAGTTGAAAGGAATTAAAATAAGCTTCAGCTAAACCTTTGCAACTTTGACATTTAGCTCTCTGGTTGAGCTTGCTCTTCTTTTCCCAAGTGACCAAGGATCGAACCCTTGCTTGAAATTCTACTTTTGACTGGAACTTTCATTTTCTTCTTCTCTTCACACACAAATAATAAAAATATGTACAAAAGTGGAACTTTAATAACTAAAATTAACAACAAACTAAGTCTAAAAAGTGTGTAAAATATAAGTACATCAAATCCCACGGGTCTCGGGACCCCACGAACGTCCAAGAAAAAAACTATATTATATAGTAGTATATATTAGATGAACTAACCAAATTTATGTCTATATATTACTCCCTCCGTCCCAGGGAGAAGTTCCCGGGTTGACTTTCACACATATTAAGGAAATAAAGTTACTGGGGGGTAAATTTTACTGTTTGGCACTGTTTCGACACTGTTTGGCACTGTTTAGCACTGTTTGGCACTGTTTTGATGTAGAATAACTTTCCATTTAGGGAAATGGGAACTTCTTGTTGGGACTGCCAAAAAAGGAAATTGGGAACTTCTCCCTGGGACGGAGGTAGTATATGAACTAATCAAATTTATGTCTATATATATATATATTCATTTACCAAATTTTATTAAAAATAACAAGGTTTTACAACAAGGAAAGGGATACACTTATCCAGAAACAAAGATAATTTAAGGTACATGAGTTCTGTCTAAGTTTAAAGCTGTTTGTGTTGATGGAAATGATTTGTATTGTAAAAGTAGTTGAGATTCGTTGAAGCTTGTAAGCAGAGTTGACTAGTTGAGCCACTTCATTGGTGTGTAAATCACAAAAGACAAATGTAATCCACAAGATCTCAGTAATGTTGCTCTGAAGATTCCTCAGAAGAGTAGCTGGTCGCTTAATCTCATTTAAAATAGCAGACGAAGAATACAAATCTGTTTCCACTATGAAATCAGCATACCCTTTCTCCGTTGCCCATTGAATAGCAGTAAATATCCCCAACATGTCAGAGTGTAGTAACGATAGAGCCTTGGTAGGGGAGGTAATCGCAAAAACTAGCAGTTCTCTACCATTTCGCATCTACACCACCTTTACTATCCGAAGCGTGAATATTAAGTTTTAACCCTGAGCTAGGTTTCAGCAAAAATGCCAGCTTCAGCCTAGTTTTCCAGTTGGTTATAAGACATTCTTGAAAGAGAAGAGAGTTGGATTTCTCATGTTTAGAATCCCGGAGACTGTTTGCTCAATTCCAATTGTGATTCTTAATTGTAAAGGTAATCCTGGAAGAAGAGGGTGTTGCTGCTTCTCCCCCAGGTAATAGCTGAGTAAGTGTAACGACCACACCGGTCTATTATGGGATTGAGATGGCTTATATGCAAGGTGTCCCTTCCTCCTAATCGGCTGGCTTATGGCACTGCAATGGCTAGGTCCGTAACAATAAGCTTTCCAAATAAACCATGCTTTTGCAACTGGTAAGATAGGCAATGATTTTCCATAATATTCCTCCTACATTCCAGCGACCAAGAAATAAACAATTGTTTGATAGAGCATCCAGGAGAAGAAGGTTTGGGAATACCAAAGATACTAATAAAGTAGTACCAAATTTGAAGGGAGAATGGACAGGATAATAGGCAATGCTCCATAGTAGCTGAGTAATTGTGACAGAACGGGCAAGTTGAAGGAAATAAAGCTCTAAATCTGCTCATAAGAGAAGGAAAGGTAGAACGTTATGATAAAGTTTCCAAAGAAAATTATGAAATTTAGGGACCTGTTTAGGATGCTAGATTTTGGACAGCGAAAAGGTTGTGCCTCTGCAATGCCAACTCGCTTCATAAGAAGAAGAAGAAGAAGAAGAAAGGTAGAACACTCCATCATTTCTTGGTAACCAAGATAAGTTTCCTTCAAAGTCTACTTTGATAAGTTCAATACATTGGTTATTTACCTGACATAATCTCTTCCAAATACGCGAATCAGGTAGTTTGGGGATCATAGTCCCCTTTCTCGGATAAGGGTTATGCATGTACGTTGCCCAAAACAAAGTATTGAGTCTTTATTTCTACCAAATTTGATAGGAATATGCTTCCTGTAAATATGATAGGGATCTAACGGTCTAACCCCTAAACCACCTTCAAGTTTAGGGAAGTATGATGCTTTTCAAGATAACCAGTGGTATGCCTGCTTTTTATTAGATAATCCCCAAAAAAAACGTAGCCATTTTCTTTTCTAAAATTGAAATTATTTTTTGGGTAAGGTATCACTGTGTCAGTGGTCAAATAATGAAGTGGTAGTGATGATAGGACATGATTGATAAGGACTAGCCTTCCAATCTGAATTATGGTTTTGGATCGCCATTGATTCAGTTTATTTTCAAACTGAGCAATAATGTCAACACAATATATCCCCACAAGAGCAAGAAATATAGAAAGCTCTTCTCACTTTCGATACTAGATAGTAATAAACAAGCAATCACCATGGGTTATAATCTGATGTCTTTGACTGCACTTTAGTCTCCACTAACCGATCATATCATAGAAATAACGGTAATATATTGATCTTATTAAAAGAGAATGCCTCATTACATGCGCGCTGGTTAATCATATTAAAAATCGTAGATGGGAAATTTGACAATTTTGTGTGCGTTTAGCGTAGGCTTAGTTTAGGTTAGGCCTAGGGCCGGCGCGGTGGGGGTGTTATGCTGTCTCCGCGTTGTCCGGTACGTTGAGGAAGCGTTATGCTGCCTCAGTGGCGCCAAATCTCCCCATGGGGGGTGGGGGGGGCAGGAGCAGTAGGGAGTGGGGAGAAAAGGGGGAGTAGGGGGACTGGAAGGGGGAGTTGGGGGACTGGAAGAGGGAGTTGGGGGGAAAGGGAGCAGTAAGGAGAAAAGGGGGAGTTGGGGGGAAACGGGTAAAGGAAAGGGAGCAGTAGTGTTGTAACAATAAAAAACAAACCTTTCACCTTTAGTGTAGCTCTAATATATATAACACACATGGAAGCTGATTTTATTGTAGATTTCTATTCATATTTTAAGTTGAAGTATCTTGGCGAGGATGGGGCGGTAGCTATCTGTGCTCTCCATAGGACCTTCTGCTACTTGGTTAAAAACAACTACCACCCCCGTAGATGTGATATGAAACCGACGAGAAAACTTCATTAGCACCCATTAGTCTGTTACATGACATATAAAACTGTAGAAAATCTAAGGCTGACTTTGAAAATTTTGAAGTTTAAAATGGCTACTTAAGGTGCATTATCCCCACAAGATCAAGAAATATAGAAAGCTCTTCTCACTTTTGAAACCAAGTTTAATAGACAAGCAATCACCATTGGTTATTATCCGATGTCTTTGACTGCACTTTAGTCTCCACTTACCCGATCATATCCATGGTTTTAAATTGCGGTTGCGGTCGCGGTTGCGGTTGCGATTGCGGTCATTGCGGTTGCGGCTAATGCGGCCGCTGCGATGCGTATTGCGGCCGCTGCGGCGTGAATTATTTTCAAGTTCGCACCAGAAAGAATGATGGACAGGCGGAGGCGTTGCGGTCTGTTGCGGCACGTCGTGGTCGATTGTGGCCTATTGCGGGATGTTGCGGCACCGTCACGGTTACGTTGCGGTTTCGTCGCGGTTACGTTGCGGTTTCGTCGCGGTTACGTTGCGGTTTTGGCCGTGATTCCAAATCATAAGGGTGTTGCGGGCTAATGCGGTTGCGGTGCCCTCGGCAACCGCAATTGCGGTTGCGGTCCGCAATTTGAAACCATGATCATATCATAGAAATAACGGTAATATATTGATCTTATTAAAAGAGAATGCCTCATTACATGTGCGCTGTTTAATCACATTAAAAGTCGTAGATGGGAAATTGGACAATTTTGTGTGTGTTTATGATTGATTTTGATTTTAAGTTTTCAGACTTTTTTCCTTGCAATGGAGCCAAAGATTCATTATTTTTTGGCTTGAGAATATGATGGAATAAAGCAAAATGTCTCACTAAACTGTCTGCGCTTCTTTGTTATGAAGCAGCCGTCAGTCCATGCAATTTTGAACGCGATTTTCACTATGGGTCATCCACAAACAGTCTCTCTGTGCTTTAGTACAGGGGTACGACTGCGTACATCCGACCCCCCCTTACCCCACCATAGGTGGGAGCCTTTGCGGCACTGGGGTAAATGAAAATGAAAATGAAAATGAAAATGAAAGACTTTTTTCCTTGTGGGGTAGCAATAGCATTCAGAGATTCAGTAGATTATGTTATCAAGCCCAATGATTCAGTAAACTTCACCAACTTTTCTTTGGATTACATTCAAAGAGAAGACAGGACCTCCCAAAGTGGTGTTTTTTATCTGGGTTTCGGAGGACACCAGATACTTGAAGAAAGGGAGAAATCATTTCTTGCCATCAATAAAACAATTCATTGTGGTTTTGATAAAAGTAGTGAAGGAGCACTGAATTTGATTTGGATGAGGACAAGAGATACATGAATGCATGCAAAGTTTTTCTATCATCGTGCATGAATGCATGAATGCCAACCAGTAAACTGGTAATAACCCACTAATTTTCTCTGTGTACACTTTTGCCAAGTTTCTTCTTTTCATGCGTTTTTATCCAATTGGAGTACTGGACTTCTATGCATTAATTTATGGGTCTTGTTAAGTTAACTGATGGTCAATGCATTTGAAATTGTACCTTTTTAATTGAAAATCATTAGTGTGCACCTTTTTACATATCTTGATGCATTTGATTGCATTCCAGTAAGAATCTTTCCTCTTTTAATTCCATAAAAACCTCCCAGGGACATTCGTTAGCATTTTCCATAAAAATTCTGAACATAACTTCTTGGAGAAAAGTGAAGGAGATCTTTGGGCTTTTCGGGGAGAGAGGAAGTGGCGTCAGTGCAGTTTAGTTTTTTTTAACTGCTTTATGGGTCTGCTATTTAGAGGTTTACATAATACTTTGACGAAATGGGGGGGGGGGGGGGGGTATAGCAGTTTCCCCAAGGTTTTTGTAGACAGGGGTTCCCTTATGTGGCAACTATGAGTAGAGATGAGATTATGAGAAGGTTGATAATTGGTTAGACGAGGTGTCCTCAAACGCAAAAGCAAGGCTAAAAGATCCATGTAAACCCCATTTCCTCAAAACCTATGTAGATTTAGTGTTTCATTTCTTTTAATGTGTCCTTTCTGATCATTGCTTATTGCGCTGCCCCATAGCATTGAGCTCTCGTCATATTTTAGGGGCATCATGCTCCTACCCAAACGAGGCCAAATCTCCATTGCCTCACAGTTCTATCAAACTGAACGATATCTTTGCTTTTTCCATTCACCATCCTATTGCTGGCCCATTCCTTCTTTAACCAAACCACACAACATTGTTCTGTCCCTACAACGAGCCATAGATATACCAACCTCCAAGTTGCCACAGATTCCTTCCCAGCATCACTCCTTACTAAGCCTAAAAAATCTTTCCAGGGGGAACTCACCACTGTCCAAAGCATCCAACATCTTCCAAAGTAAGCCTCACTCTATATCATATTGTCCGTTGAACTCTCATTTTGTTGCTGCCCGTCATCACTCCTCTCTTTCTAGTTTCTCCACCAAAGTTTTTTCTGGCATTTCTTCCCTTCCTCCTTGGACTAGAGGGGGCTGAGGGGCTTTATCTTTAGATTGTTTATCTACCATACATTTTTTAGTCATGCATGTTTCATGATGGGTAAGGTTTCATGTTCCCCCTTGTTCTCTCAATCTTTAAATGTTCAAAGGATATTCAGGTTAAGAATTCAATGATTCATTTGGACGATAAGAATAATTTAAGTTCTGATGATAATAGGTAGGGCCGTAGGGGTGAAAAAATTAAGCAGAAGTGATTATAGTGAAACTAAGCATCCAAATAAATCATACTACGTATATCAGACACTTAATATCTTCACCTGTATGTGATCATTTCTGTAAAGAATGATAAAAGTAACAGACATTATATATAAAGTGGAACTATTATAAAAGAGAAATCTCGCATGAACTGAATTGGAGATACAAACTACATACTTTATTCAATAACCCATCAGGTATATTTATATTACATCGCGTATGATAGCTAGGAAAGGAGAGAGCACTATGCATGGGCCATGTATAGATATGAAAATCACGTACGTAGCTATGTGTGGTGGTGTGCAAACACTACATGTGAAATAATGATAAAATATTTCATGTCATAATATTCAATACTCCCCCTCAAGGTGGAGTGTGAAGATTACGTACACCCAACTTGCTGCGGAGAAATTGAAAACGGTCTGTGCCAAGTGCTTTGGTAAATATGTCAGCCACTTGATTGGCTGTGGAGATGAAAACTGGTTGGATCTCTTTACTAGCAACCCTTTCTCTTACAAAATAGCAGTCTATTTCCACATGCTTTGTACGTTCATGAAAAACTGGATTAAGTGCTATATGATGTGCCGCTTGATTGTCACAATATAGAGGTGTGGGACCTGTTTGATCAACTGTAAGATCATGAAGTAACCACCGTAACCATAATATTTCACTAACGGTAACTGCCATGGCACGATATTCTGCTTCAGCAGAAGAGCGAGAAACAACAGCTTGTTTCTTTGTTCTCCAAGAGATAGGTGAATTTCCAATAGAGATAAAATATCCAGTACTAGAGCGTCGAGAGAAGGAACATCCAGCCCAGTCTGCATCACAATAGCCCTTTAAGTTGAAATCGTTATCAGATGATAAAAATATTCCTTGACCGGGCGTTTGTTTTAAATAGCGTAATATACGAATGGCAGCATCTAGATGACTCTGTCGCGGATGGCTTAGAAATTGACTGAGTTGACTGACAGAATAAACAATATCCGGACGAGTTACTGTAAGGTACAATAGACGCCCAATCAGTCTGCGATAGGAAGACGCGTCTACTGGCCGACTACCATCGTCTGGGCACAGTTTTAAGTTTTGTTCCATGGGGAACGGACTGGGACGACCCGCTAGGAGCCCACTTTCTTCCAAGATATCAAGAGTATACTTTCGTTGGCTTAAGACAAAACCCTCCGGTGAACGAGCAACTTCAATTCCAAGAAAGTATTTCAATTTTCCCAAGTCTTTGATGCTAAACTTATTGTTTAAGTAATTTTTGACGGAGGAAATATGAGAGATGTCATTTCCGACCAAGAGGACGTCATCAACATATATAAGGGCAAAGGTTATGACAGTACCCTCTCGGAAAATGAATAAGGAATAATCCGCTCGAGACTGGCGAAAACCTATCTCAATGAGGGCTTGAGTAAATTTGTGATACCAATTGCGAGAAGCCTGACGTAGCCCATATAGAGATTTTTGTAACTTGCAAACACGAGTATCACCTTGTCTTTCGAATCCTTGAGGAATACGCATATAAACGTCCTCAGAAAGATCACCATGAAGAAAAGCATTATTGACATCTAGTTGGTGTACAACCCAACTGCGCTTAGCTGCAACGGCTAGTATGCATCGCACCGTGACGAGTTTGGCAACCGGTGCAAATGTCTCGTGAAAATCAATACCCTCAACCTGCGTAAATCCCTTAGCAACCAATCTAGCTTTATAACGTTCCACGTCTCCATTTGGTTTATATTTAATTTTATAAATCCATTTCGAATCAACAATTCTTTTTCCGGCCGATGGTGGGACTAGAACCCAAGTGTTATTTTCTTCCAATGCGCTGATCTCCTTTTGCATTGCATCTCTCCATAAAGGGTCTCGTATAGCCTGTGAAAAATATTTAGGCTCATCACGTGAAGTGATGGCCGCTAAATATGCTTTATGAGTACAAGAAAATTTTTCATAACTAATGAATTTTGAAATAGGATATACCGTCGAGTCTACTAAATTGGCGGTGGTCCGTGAATGATCCAGTGAAGGTGGCAAGTCAGTCTCATAATCATCCAGATGCTTTGGATTTTTACGATGTCTATCACTCCTTCTTTGATGAAAATACGGAGCACTACTGTTGGGAGCCAGAGTTGATGGAACATGGGGGTCCATTGTTGATGTCCTTTGTGTACAAGTAGGTTGAATGGTAACGTCAGATTGAATCTCATCCATCCTTACATGAGTGGGGCTGGTACTCATCACATCATGTGGAGTAAATTGGCTGATTTGAGTGTCTAAATACAAACCCAGCTGTCCAGGAGTGTTTTCGGTGATTGGGATTGCCCCTATTTCTTTTGTGGGTGAAATTGGGTGCTGCTGCATGGGGCTGCTGTCATTTTGTGCAAGTGGGGTCCTTTCTAGCACATCATGTGTTGGATGAGAGGCAGTAGATGGAACGGAGTCGGTGGTGAGGTGTTTGTCCGAAGTAGCTAGGCGATATGTCGGTGGGGTATATCTTCCATTATTTTGAACAAATGGAGGCTGGCCATTCCCAATAATTGGACGGGTAGCGGGCATTGTAATAGGACTAGGGTGACTTTCAGTAGGATCATTACAGCTCAAGATGTGATAATAAACTTTATCTATAATGGCCGAAAAATCAAGATCCTTATCCTGAATTATTTTGAAAGGGAATTTTTCTTCATAAAACGTAACATCCCGAGAGCTATAAACACTACGTGCTTTTAAATCAAAGACTCGATAAGCCTTTTGACCATTTGGATACCCAAGAAATACACATGGACTCCCCCTTTCACCGAATTTATCTTTCCGTTTATTGTCATGTGCATATACCAAACATCCAAATACCCGCATATGATCATAACAAGGCCCTTTTCCAAACAACATTTCATAAGGGCTTTTGTTAGAAATAATAGGTGAGGGAAGCCTATTAATAATGTACACAGCGGTCAAAATGCATTCTCCCCAAAAATTAATAGGCAACCCAGACTGAAAACGTAATGCCCTTGCGACTTCCAATATATGTCTATGCTTACGTTCCACAACTCCATTTTGTTGTGGAGTGTATGTGCATGACGTCTCAAGTAATATTCCACTGCGTCCATAATAGTCAAATAAAATGTTGGTTTGAAATTCCACACCATTATCAGCTCTAATTCGTTTGACCTTTTGCTCAAATTGAGTATCAATCATGTTGCAAAATTGAATTAAGAGTTGAGAAACTTCGGATTTATTTTTCATTAAATAAACCCACACACCTCTAGTAAAATCATCAACAATAGACAAGAAGTACCGTGCACCTGATGTTGAGTCGCATCTGTAACCTCCCCAAATGTCACAGTGTATTAGTTCAAAGCAGCGAGTCGTCTTAATGGTACTTGTGGGAAAAGATAATCGAGTTTGCTTAGCTCGAACGCAAGGATCACAAAATTTCTCACTTCGTTGGAAACCCTTGAGAGAACTAATGTGATGTAACTTTCCATCGGATGCGTGTCCCAAACGCTGATGCCATAAATCAGATGTAGTAGAGATTGACATTGCCACCCCTTTATTTTCAGGGGAATCAAGGTAGTAAAGACCATCACGAAACTGACCCACCCCAATTAGTTTCCTCGAAGGTAAATCCTGCAAAATACAAAAGTCTGAAAAAAATGTGAGTGTGCAGTTTAAATCCCTTGCAAGGCGACTAGCGGAGAGTAAATTGCACTGGAATTTTGGGATATATAAAACACGTTGAAGATATAACCCATTGGGTAAATACATGCTACCAATAGCATGAACCGGTACTGCTTCACCATTAGGAATCTTGACCGACGGTACGGAGATATGATTCACGGTGTTGATGAGATTAATATCAGTACAAGTGATATGTTCAGTAGCTCCGGAGTCAATTATCCAAGAGCGGAAATGTGGCGATAAATCTGCCATAGCTTAACCAAAGGGAAAAACAATCAGAGAGAGAAAAGTAAAATATAAGAACTTTGTTTCCAGGATTTTGTCTCTGATACCATGATAAAAGTAACAGACATTATATATAAAGTGGAACTATTATAAAAGAGAAATCTCGCATGAACTGAATTGGAGATACAAACTACATACTTTATTCAATAACCCATCAGGTATATTTATATTACATCGCGTATGATAGCTAGGAAAGGAGAGAGCACTATGCATGGGCCATGTATAGATATGAAAATCACGTACGTAGCTATGTGTGGTGGTGTGCAAACACTACATGTGAAATAATGATAAAATATTTCATGTCATAATATTCAATAAAGAATAACACATTCCGTTCTGATTTATGCATTGCAAGATTTTATGATCTGTTATTGCATATACGTAAACATACACATAGAAAAGAAGAATATACATCGATACATAAAGTAAACAAGAACAACCTTTGTTCCAAAACAGAGGAGAACATTTATCGATGCAAAATGTACTTAATGTTAGTAATCTGTGATTTTACTTTTCAGGTTATCTCATTGCTCGATCATCATGAGACAAGGTGGCAATGCTTCACAAGACCCATCTAAAGGCCCAACTTCATGTGGAAAACGTTGCTCTCCACAAAATGGGGAAAAAATGCATGTGCAATTGTGTAGAGATAGTTTGGCAATCGTGTAAAACGGCAAGTACTATTTGGCGTGTACGATTAACATTTCTCAATAAACAAAGGCATATTGAATTAGATGTTTGAGTTCTCACTGTTATAAAATTGACAGTATTAGGGTTGGTTTGCAAATGCTTTAAAAAGCACTTCTCAGCTTTTTGCTCAAAAAAACACTTATTTTACCAAACACTACCAACTTTTATTTTTCTCGGCTTTTGTGTTAAAAGTGTTTTTACTTTTTCTATTACACAAAAAGCACTTATTTTACTAAACACTACCAACTTTTACTTTTCAAAATTATTTTTTTCTTTTGACGATAAAAAAAAATCATTTTTTTCTCAAACACTATCAACTTTTATTTAATCACTTCTCCCCATTTCATTAAAAAAATGATTTTTTAAAGCAGAAGTTATTGCAAACAGACCCTTAGTTAATCCACGTGAAGGAAAGACTTAACTTCATAATATTTTTAAGTCGATATGTATATAGAATCATTGAAGTCATTGATCCAAGAAATGCATTTTTGCGTGTGATATTTAACAGTAATATTACATGTCAATGACTATTTAATATCTATATTGTAAGTGTATCAAATAGAAATAACTAACAAATTTAATGATAGGGAAAAAGTACAAATATACCCCTGTAGTATGGGTGTAGGAACAAATATACCCTTGTTCTATTTTTCGGAACAAATATGCACCTGAACTTTTAAAAAGGTGCAAAATTATCCATCATGTTCTTATAAAGGGGCAACTTAATCCTTATTGACTTTAAATTAATAAAATAAATTTTAAAAAACACCAAATATAAATTATAAATTCGAAATTTAAAAACAAAAAAATTGTAATATGTAATAGTGTCCAATTCTCCCTTTTATAGTTTTTATATCACAATTTAATATTGTTTAAGTACGAAATATTATTTCAAAATTTTACTATATGTTTAAAATTCTTTCGAAAAGGTGCTAACATATGTTTTACTATATGTTTATGAATCCCTGACATTAATTGAGGGTTTTTTACCTGACAGGCAGTTTGTTGGGTAGCCCAGATCGGCAAGTTGAAACGTAGCAGACATCTGCAACGAGTTTTCGAATAATCGAGTGCACCCCAAAGGCACAAAATGGAAGACGATAACAGTCAAGGAGAAATTGAACTTTTGGCCCATGCCTATGGAAGGATGGAGATGAAAGAAGAGGATGAAGTTTTACTGGTGGAAGCCACGAACTCGGGCACAACGGGTGCAAATCTTTCACTGATCGGAACCATAACCTCGAAAAAATCGGGAGGGAATCGAACGATGGCTTTGAACTATAGTGTGTTTACTCTGTGTTTACCTTTATCATTCACAACAGTTTTATTTCTTTCCTTTCAATTTTATCAAGTACTCTGTGTTTACCTTTATCGTTGACAATGGTGGTAGGGTTGTTTTTTGGTGTATTTTACCGTATAGTTTTCTGTTGGGAGGTAATCAGGCCGTTTTGGCTGTTAGTAGCATCGAAGCTCTCACATGTTCAGCGATTAATTTCGCTCTTTTTGGGGTGGGCAATTATATGTCCGGTCAGGGAGTGAGGGGGCTAGTGTGGAGGACTTTTAGAAGTTTAGAGAGGGAATATGGATTTTTTATGATGTTGGATGGATGGTTTTTTCAATATTAACATAAGTTTTCTTTTGCCAAAAAAAGATTACATTAAGTTATTTACATTTTTACTTCCGTGTATTTATATTTAGTTTTCTAATATGTATGTTTACAATAGATTTCTTACATTAAATATTTTTGTTAATCTTTATATATAAAGAGAGTATACCATGGAAAATCAAATAAAAATCTATTTGGAGCCAAAAGAAGTGAAAATTGTTGTCTTAATTAGAGAAGGATTATTAATTACTTAATAATTAATAACAATCAATGATGAAGTATACATATAATTAATAGTTGTAAGTCACAAACAAAATATTAGAAATTTGAGGATAAAGAAAATGAATATAATATAAATAAAATTATTTACTGAAAGACATAAATAAAATTATTAGAAGACCTCAGCGACACGTAAGAGCAGACCTTAGGGGAAACCCTAGGTGGCCAAATCCGACCTCCTCCAAGATCTGATCGTCCCTTTACTTTTAGTTTTCAAAGTGTATTTATAGTGTTATATGGACTATACAATATAACATAATGCTTAATAGGTATTTTACAAGGAGAAATACCTAGAGTTGTATATCATGTTGGAATATTTTAGTTAAGTATAGTTTTTCTTCATAAACATCAATTATAATGTTATTTTTTTTGCTTGATTTGAACAAATATACAATACAAGAAGTCAACGATTTCAAAGTTTAGAATACTTATTCACTTATTCTATAAAATAGAATACTTTTTTTGTTAAGTTTAATTTATCTTTAATTGATAAAAAGTATTGAATTTTGTAAAATGTCAAGCAATAATATAAATACTTCAGATATTGGTTAAATAAATTCAAGTAATATGAATTAAATTGAAACTATAAATGCTTGTGCGACATTAAAACTTGACTCACTTAAGTTCTGACTGCTAAAAAAGAATTTGTTTCAAAAAATTAAATTTTAAAATATTCTAGCATTATTACAAATACAATATGCACAAATTAGACGAATTAACAACATAGTATTATTCTTTTTTTTTTTTTGAAAAACATAGTATTATTCTAAAAATTGATATAATCTCATACATATTATTGTAAAATTAAAAAGATCCATTGTGACTTACAAGCACTCATGTAATCGTGTTAAACAAAAATGTGTAATTGAGGAGTTTGATTCTTTATTCTAATAAGAGTAAGCACTTAAGCAAGGCAAAATTTATTTTAAAAAAAAAAAATCATAGATGGATTTGCACCTAACAATATCTTTATCTCCAAACGAATTGACAAACTTTAACCATTTCTTTATAATCAAATAAATTTTCTTATAATTTGGTATTGCTTAGGCTTTAATTTAGCACTAACTTTTTAGAACAATTCTATTATAAAATTCTAAGTTAATTTTCTCATTGTTCATGTAAATCTTGAATGTGGTACTTTTAAATGGCGTGCATGCGCTAGTGAATTTTTTTTTTTAAATAATCTAGACAAAGTCTTATATCGATGAAAAAAATGCACCCCCCAACCATAATTCTTGGATTCGTCGTGTAACACAAGTATGTTCACGATCTCTTACGACTCTTTCATCGTCACACAGTTAAGTCAGTTCGTACCTCTCTTCCTTCTCGAATCACTCTATCTTCTAGACTTCTACTGATGGAAAACTCATTGTTGATGCTACTGAATATCGACAAGGGGCGTAGCCAGGACACTGGGCTAGACAGGGCCGGTACAAAGAATATTATTGGAAAAAAAATTACACAAAATTTTTTACTCTAAAAATATTGACATTTTTCAAATTTGGGGTGGGCCAGGGCCTAGCCTAGGCACCCCTAGCTCCGCCCCTGAATATCGTAGTATGATAAGAGTGTTGCAATACTTGACTTTGACTCGGCCTGATATTACTTACATTGTTTATTTGGTTTTCCAGGTTTATGCATGTTTCTCATATTTCACACTTGTGGCTGTTAAGCGTATTAAAAGGTTACCTACATGGCTCAAGTATTTAAGGGTTTCTTAGCGTTCCAAAAAACGGCCTATGATGTCTAAGGGAGTGTTTGCAACTGCTTCTGCTTAAAAAAAAGCACTTTTGGAGATGTAAGGAAAAAGTGATTAGTAGGAAAAGTTGATAGTGTTTGAGAAAAAAGTGATTTTGAAAAGTAAAAGTTGATAGTGTTTGGTAAAATAAGTGCTTTTTGTGTAATAGAAAGGGGAAAAACACTTTTCACACGCAAGCCGAGAAAAAATAAAAATTGGTAGTGTTTGGTAAATAAGTGCTTTTTTAAGCCAAAAGCTGAGAAGTGCTTTTTTTTAAGTGATTGCAAACACTCCCTAAGTCCTCTACAAAGCTCAATATCCCACAATAGCCTACACCATTCATTTTGATTAGGTACACATAAAAACATCATACGCACTGCACAAAAAGTCCTTTTATATATATATATATATATATATATATATATATATATATATATATATATATATATATATATATATATATATATATATATATATATATATATATATATATATATATCGCAATTTCTAAAAGAAAAACATACTACGTAGTACATTTCGATCATGCACGTAAAGAGATGTCGAAATATTATAAAAATTCTAAAAATTCTTGCTTTATCAAAGAGATAATCATTCTTAGAGCATATTATGTTGTCCATGACTAATCGTAACACTGAAAATTTTGAATCGATTTAAATGCAACAAATGCTGAAAATTTGTACTACTTTAGGGGCATTAATGCATTTTCTTCAGGGGAAGAACCGGACCGGACCAGGCCGTTCCATCCAAATCACAATCTGGTCTTGTAGCATACCAACCCGCAAGTGTGTCATTAATCGGAAATACCCAGTGACCTGGGCATACCTGGACCGGAATTGGGACGATCCAAACTCGCACATTAGAGAAAACCACGAATTTGTGGAATCTACGATGAGTCTCAGACTCGTCCTTGAGGTCTCTCTAACTGCTTCTATACCTTTTCTAAATAAACTCTTTGAGTTAGAGAGTGATGTTACTTGTTAGTTCCTGGCCTCCTGCTCCACAACTAATAATCATAACAAAAAAAGATAGATAACAAATATGAATTCTATTATTATAATTTATAAGTAGAAATATTAATATAATACTACGTATTTGAATACTTTTTAAAATTTATTATATTCATATTTATCGTCTATCTAAAATTTTGTTAAAAATTGTATATTTAGAATAATAATTCTACTTTCTATGTTACCATGCACTATGAATATTAAATTATGATTGAAAATAATTTCCCTTTACAAGTTTAATTTGATATATCTTTAGTAAAAGTTTAATTTGATATATAATTTACAATTTCATTTTAAGTCAATATTGACCGGGTTGACCTGTCGGGCCCGACTAACCTTGACGGCTTGACCTAGTCATTTGGCCTGGTCACCTCCCATTCCGGTTTTTTACAAGATAGCGCCATACATGACACCAATTTTTGAAATTAAGATTATAAATGTCAACTCTTATATTATGTATAACCAGGATATGGTTTTCTGGTTTCAGTACTGGTCCTTGGACCACACTATGGTCATAGTGGGGTGCAGGGGCGGAGCCAGAAAAATGACTCAGCGGGGTCGAAATCAAATTTACATAGAATAAAAAAGGTAGATATTTTTAGACAATACCTGAATTGAATGTAACTTAGATAAATGATAGTTTAAATGAAACTAATAGAGTATATGTAGTTAATATACTTCGTATATGTCACATACTCCGTATATTATAAACTTGTTTTGTACGGGTTGAGTTGAGTACCTCGGATTAGACCCATTCTCTTACCCTAGTACACTATGGTTCTCTTTGATCTTACTCGGTTTAGTATCAAAATTTCTTACTAGAAAAGAATCATTTATTGAGTAGGCACTCGTAGCAGTAAGATATGTTGTCTTTGCTCTGTCCTTAAGTCATGTCACGTAAGTAACAAGTGAATTACACGCTACTTTGTGAATATAATTAATATTACGCATCACAATTTTACTAATTTCAAAATTAAATAGTGCTGATTTTGCAGAAGTCATAACTTTTTACTCGTAATGAGTTACGAGAGCCATAATATATCAAATCGAAGATATTTTAGAGCTCTACACTCTTAAATTTTCAGCGGGGTCGGCTGACCACCCTGACCCCCCAGTAGCTCCGCCCCTGGTGGGGTGTCCTAGTTTGGACCGTGCCCAGGCCGCTTAACTCAAGGGTCACCTCATTGGGACGGGAGGCCTCCTTGTTCAAACAAAACACACATCCAAACAAAACACATCATGTGAGCATTGCCTGAAATAGGAAGGCTATCATGGCTCTATAACATCCCCCTGCCTAAGAAACTGAACTACTAAAGACACATTGATCCGGAAAGCTCAAAAGATGCAATGTTATAGAATAGACACTATCACACTAATACCAATATGCAATATCAACCACAATCAGAATTAGGGAATAAGCACAATAAAGCACAATCTCCAATACATACACCCAATGCATGCAGAAAAAGGTTAACACTACAAAAGGAAAACAATCAGTCGGATCACACAAATCTGTTAAATGGTTTCCTACCAACTGAAGCTGGCATGGAAACAGCAGAATCCACACTCAACCTATCCGCACTTCCACTAAAGTCCTTCAGAGATGAAGCGCCGCCTTTGCTGGAACCTCTGCTCCACTTGAATGACCCCACATTTGAAGTCAAAGGATAGGATAACCTCCTGGCTGAGTGACTGGATGGGCTTCCTATGCTTCCCTCCCTTGGACTGGCTTTGGCTTTGGCTTTGGCTGAAATGGTAGGTGACATGTAATTTGGAACCGAATATGGAGGACAGCTTGTTAGGCTGTCATCGTCCTTCGAAGGGAACTTATAAGGTGAACCGGCAAAGCTGGTTCCAGACTGGGCATACTTTTTTCTTAGGCTTGAAGAAGGAGGTGTTCTACCAGGAGTATGAAATGGTTTTGGTCTTGCTGGAACTGACGACTTTGTTGATGTTGGGGTATCTGCTTCAAAATGTCCACCATACTCGGTGTAATT